TCCCACACCGTATAATCGAAATCGACCTAATTCATTAACTAGTTAGAAAACGTTTGGACAGAACTAGGATCTTAAATGTAGTCAAAGGAGTAGACAATCAAAATAAATATACGGACAACGATGGGTTAAAAAAAGTAAAACTCATCAAGATCAAGATTGACAGGACAAGCTGTATATCATACGTGGAGAAATTCGATTACCTCGCCTCTGATTGAAGTTTATGCTAATGATGCTATACAGAAGAACAATGATAAATTCACGAATAAACTGTTCAACTCAGAAAACGAAACTTCATTATAATCGGACATATCATTTTACAAACTTCAGATAATTACTGTTCTCTCCTCTGTACATATTTCAGATATCAATGAAGATACACAGCTTACTTACTTACTTACTTACGCCTGTTACTCCTCGTGAAGGAGCATAGGCCACTCACCAGCATTCTCCATCCAACCCTGTCCCAACCAATCCTTTCCAGCTCCGTCCAGTTGTAATTCATCCTTTTCATATCTGCTTCTATTTCTCGACGTAATGTGTTCCTTGGCCTTCCTCTTTTTCGCTTCCCTTCAGGGTTCCAAGTTAGGGCTTGCCTCGTGATGCAGTTTGACGATTTGCGTAATGTATATCCTATCCATTTCCATCGTCTTTTCCTAATTTCCTCCTCAACTGGAAGCTGGTTTGTTCTCTCCGACAGAAGGCTATTGCTGATGGTATCCGGCCAGTGGATGTTGAGTATCTTGCGTAGACAGCTATTTATAAATACTTGTACTTTCTTGATTGTGGTTGTTGTAGTTCTCCAAGTTTCAGCTCCATACAGTAGAACTGCCTTGACGTTCGTATTGAAGATTCTCACTTTGATATTGGTTGAAAGTTGTTTTGAGTTCCATATGTTCTTCAATTGTAGGAATGCGACTCTTGCTTTGCCAATCCTCGCCTTTACGTCTGCATCTGAACCTCCTTGTTCATCGATGATGCTTCCTAAGTATGTGAAGGACTCTACATCTTCCAGAAATTCGCCATCAAGAGTGATTGGATTGCTGTTCTCCGCCTTGAATTTGAGGACCTTGGTTTTCCCTTTGTGTATGCTGAGGCCTACTGATGCAGAGACTGCTGCTACACTGGCTGTCTTCATCTGCATCTGTTCGTGTGTACGTGATAGGAGGGCTAGGTCGTCTGCGAAGTCCAAATCGTCTAATTGATTCTGAGTTGTCCATTGTATTCCGTGTTTTCCTTCAGATGTCGAGGTCTTCATAATCCAGTCGACCACCAGAAGAAAGAGGAAGGGAGAGAGTAAACAGCCTTGTCTGACTCCAGTCCTTACTTGGAATGCATCTGTCAGCTGTCCTCCATGCACTACTTTGCACTGTAGTCCGTCGTATGAGTTCCGGATAATGTTGACAATCTTCTCAGGAACTCCGTAGTGTCGAAGAAGTTTCCATAATGTCCTCCTATCTACACTGTCGAATGCCTTTTCATAATCAATGAAGTTGATGTATAGTGATGAGTTCCACTCAACTGATTGTTCGACGATGATCCGTAGTGTTGCAATTTGGTCTGTGCACGACCGATCCTTACGGAATCCAGCTTGTTGATCTCGAAGTTGGGCGTCTACTGCATCCTTCATCCGGTTCGGCAACACTCTGTTGAAGACTTTCCCTGGTATTGACAGTAGTGTTAGACTATCCTGTTGTGCGACTCTTCAGCACTGTGTATCAACGGTCCTGCTAGCGAGATTCGGACCCAAGGCTTTCGGTTTCGAGCACGAATGCTTAATCTCTAAACCACTGAGCCAGCATCGAGTGGTGTTAACGTCTTGCCCCAACCAATTCACAAAACTGCGCGACCATCATTCATTGTGCTGAGGTATATACCTGTCCCTACCTGATATGGATTAGCTCCACTGGTCACGGCTTCTTATTAGAACTCAGAGAATTCCCTCACGAAGCTAGTCACTAGTGAATACATGATAATTATCAGTATGGGGTTCAAATCCGGCGAGCGGGATCGTTGATGTGTACAGCTGAGGAGTCCCACAACAGGATGAAACGACCGTCCAGTGCTTCTAGGTTTTCAATAGTGGTCCAAAATCAATTGATTCATAATCTCAATCAAAAATTAAAATCTAATTTTGAGGAATTATTGAAAGATGTTTTAATTATAAATTCAGAAATAGTAATTACATATAATGGTATAATTTTTATTAAAAAAATTATTTAATAAAAGTGTCATTCAACCTTGAAGAAGAAAGAACACATTACGCCGAGAAATAGAGATAGATATGCGAAGAATGAACAACAATTGAATAACACTAGACAGGAAAACCAAGGGCAGAATGGATTGGAGAATGTTGGTCAGCGGACTATGCTTCATCGGGTGGTAACAAGTGTAAGTAAGTATTTAAGGCACATAGCTAGCAGCTCGTTTTATGTATATGCAAACAATTTGATATCACATGATTTCCCTCATCAATCTAGATGTAAAGAGATTTTGAAAGCCATTTTCTCTTTTAAATCTCTCCTTTCTACTGTCTTGTTTTCAATGACAGATAACTCTTAAATTTATCTTACCATGTGATATCTTCTAAACTAAACTGTAATAATTGGTATTTTGGTATCAATATGGAGACTACCCTAAACAATATGAATTGAATGTTGATGTAGAAGCTATTGGAATCAGATAATCTATGTGAAGTGATGAGTATGATTCTTTTGATGATAGACGAACTGGACTCAGTCAATTTCCTTCTCTCTACCTATTTTTATTTATTGTAACAGAATAAGAGAAGTAATTTGGAAAACTGAGAACCGATTTTATGATGGAAATGTCCAGCTCCGTTCTAGTTATCTAACGTTTTCAAAGTTGATCCTCGGTGAGATCATGGGAGAGAAATGTTCATGGATCTCATGCTAGGACGGAATTGATGTTCAATATTTCTTGATTTTCAATTATTATTTAGGGAAATCATTTGAGAATATGAACTACGATTGTTGGAATGGGAAACCGATTCCTTGAAGAAATCACGTTTTCCAATGTTAGTTGGATATCTATTTGTAATAGACACACCTATTTTATCAGTTTGTACAATAGTATTTCAATATTGATGATACAACAATGAATCGGCTGGTGGTTCCATATCTTCAAATATCTGTCTTTGTATGGATCGATCGTGTACAGACCAAATTAGGTCACTACAGGTCATCGTCGAACAATAATCTGAATTGAACTCGTCACTATACATCAACATCCTTGAGAATGAGAAAGCGTTTGACAGTATGAAAAGCAAAACATTATGGGAACCTTCCTTGACAATACGGATTTACTGAAGAGATTATCAAAATCATCCGGAATTCATGGGTCAGTTAACGATGTGGGGAAACTGCAGTAAGTAAGTAAGTAAGTAAGTAAGTAAGTAAGTAAGTAAGTAAGTAAGTAAGTAAGTAAGTAAGTAAGTAAGTAAGTAAGTAAGTAAGTAAGTAAGTAAGTAAGTAAGTAAGTAAGTAAGTAAGTAAGTAAGTAAGTAAGTAAGTAAGTAAGTAAGTAAGTAAGTAAGTAAGTAAGTAAGTAAGTAAGTAAGTAAGTAAGTAAGTAAGTAAGTAAGTAAGTAAATAAGTAAGTAAGTAAGTAAGTAAGTAAGTAAGTAAGTAAGTAAGTAAGTAAGTAAGTAAGTAAGTAAGTGTTGAAGTAAGTAAGTAAGTAAGTAAGTAAATGTTGAAGTAAGTAAGTAAGTGTTGAAGTAAGTAAGTAAGTGTGTAAGCAAGTAAGTGTGTGAGTAAGTAATTAAGTAAGTAGATAAGTAATTCACTTTACCTTTTAATATGCTTAACATCTACGAATTAAACGATGAGAATATAAGACATAAGTAAAGGGGGAATGCAGTAATAATAATAATAATAATATTAATAATAATAATGGTAATAATAATGGGATAATCAAAATAATTAAGGCCAAGGTAACGATAACGATAAGACCTTCTTCTTTTTTACGCATAGTTCTGGTTTAAGCTCCTAGACGGTAAGAGCTTCGTCTATTTTTAAGAGTTGGATACGAAGAAATCTGGGTAGATTTTAAAGAATCACGTAAACAACCTTAAAATCAGTTTGTGGATCTGTAGAATGGTTACAGTGGATTAGGTGTTCAAGTATAGAACTCCTAACTGATTTCCTTTCATCCTTATAGAACCAAGCTGGGATATGTTCCCGTATCCTAGTTGAAAGCGAGCACTGGCTACGGCCAATGTACCTTGCTTCACAAGAGCAGGTGAACTGGTAGATGCACATGGAGGTGACCAGACGCGGAAGCTTATCTTTTATGGATGCAGAAAATAAGTTCCTACTAGTGAAGGTTATTCGCAGTTTAGCTGCGTTAAATGTTCTTCTAATAGTTGTTGTTAGACGATTTTTGATTACGTCTGATGTTCGATCACCTTTAAATTCCAGACCTATATAAATGTTTTTCTTCGAGACGGAACAACTAGATTTCTTATCGTAACTACTTCTATTCATATTCTTTTCTATGAACCGTTCTGGGTAACCATTTTCCATCAAGGTTTTCTTGAGGAATGCTAGTTCTTTGTTAATGCATTCCGTACTGCATATCTGATGTATTCGATAGCATAAAGAATGGATAAGGTTTCTCCTCCTACTTAACGGAACCCAGCTATAGAAGTTGGTTAGCTGGCCATTTCATTTTTGTTTCCTAAAGATGGGTCTTTTTAAAGAACCATTACTCTTTCTCATCAGACGTACATCGAGAAAAAGAATTGATTGTTCTCATTCCCTTTTTAACATGAAGTCTATGGAAGAGTGGCATGAGTTAAAGGTGTGTAGAATATCATCCAAATCAATATTATTGTCACAAACGACAAACATGTCGTCCATCTATCTCACGTATAGGTGGAGTCGATTGATCAATTAACGGAGTTGGTCGTTTTCTATTTTTGCCATGAAACAATCTGCTAAAATTAGACCCAATGGAGACCCAATTGCGATTTATATTTTATATTCTATATTCTCTTATATCTGTACTGTTAATAATATTGAATAAGAAACAAAAAACAAAAACAAACAAATGATATGATGTAATAACAATATGATGTAATATTTTGTCATGATAAACATTTGAAATATGAAAAAAAGGGAAAAACCCCCCCCGAATGTTAAATGATTTGTCATTGGATATTAAAAGTAAATAAATAAATTGTTTATTTTAAATAATTTAATCAATAATGATCAATTTTATTGGAATAATATTGATTTAATTGTTTTTTTTCTTTTCTTTTTTTTTCTTCTTCAATAGAAAATATGAAAACATTGAGATTTTCTTTTTACTTTTTTTTTCTTTCAACAACATTCAAGAATGTGTGGATCTTTACCAGTAGATGATCTACGTATCATCCAAATTGAAATTAATATATAAATAATTTTAATCATTGTAAATATAAAACATAAAGCCAATATTCCATCGATATATTTATAAGTGTAATTATTTAATACTTCAGCACATCCCTGTAAATTGGATAAAAGATGAAGAAAAAGAGAAGAAAAAGGTTTTTTGATAAAGTAATAAAGAAGGAATTCTAAGTAGGATATTCTATATTCATGTATACATGAATGGTTGATTATTGTAAAGAAAATTATATTAGATTGATGAGGTTACAAAGTGTTTTTCATATAGAGATGAAGTTTCAATGAGTTCTCTATTGGATCCTATCATGGCTGATTGTTTTATGGCCAATTTAGAAAATTTGGTACTTTGACCAATAATTAAGAGATTTCATTTACGAGTTGAAATCATGAGTCAATTGAAGCTAGACAACCACGGGAAACCTGGAAGTACTGGAAGGCCGTTTCGTTCTAGCTTGGGACTCCTCAGCAGTGCGCATCCACAATTCCGCCCACCCCCGAGAGATTTGAACCGAGGACCTATCAGTCTTGCGCGCGAGCGCTAAACCGGCCGGTATCTAATGGTGTTAGTGTCTAACTTCAACCAATCCACGAAATTGCATTTATATAAGAGATATATGGATGGTACTTTTATTGTTTGGGAAGGAGATATGGACCTCAATGAATTGTTTCAATAATTGTCACCCCTCAAGCTTCCGCGTCTGGTCACCTCCATGTGCATCTACCAGTTCACCTGCTCTTGTGAAGCAAGGTACATTGGCCGTAGCCAGTGCTCGCTTTCAACTAGGATACGGGAACATATCCCAGCTTGGTTCTATAAGGATGAAAGGAAATCAGTTAGGAGTTCTATACTTGAACACCTAATCCACTGTAACCATTCTACAGATCCACAAACTGATTTTAAGGTTGTTTACGTGATTCTTTAAAATCTACCCAGATTTCTTCGTATCCAACTCTTAAAAATAGACGAAGCTCTTACCGTCTAGGAGCTTAAACCAGAACTATGCGTAAAAAAGAAGAAGGTCTTATCGTTATCGTTACCTTGGCCTTAATTATTTTGATTATCCCATTATTATTACCATTATTATTATTATTATTATTATTATTATTATTATTATTACTGCATTCCCCCCTTTACTTATGTCTTATATTCTCATTGTTTTATTCGTGAATACTCATCATATCACCATATTTATTTTTTACACCTCTACGACCTTTAATTATTATATCAAAAACATTAGTATTTTCTTTATTATCCTTGTCCCCTCTTACTCTACATTTCTAGACTAGTTGACTTAACAAGTTTATTATGTGTGATTAGATTTTACGAAATGTGTAGCGCTAATATAGTCTTCGTCTACTTATTACCCTATAGAATGTGAATCACCTTAAACAAACTGATAACCTGAAAAATTCCCATATTGATATAAGCGATTAATATTGTTTTGGATTAGATCCTCATCAAGCTTTACTCTAATATGCAGTAATGTATTTATATATGCATATGCGAAATGAATTAAACCAATCAAGGTAGTTTATGAGTCAATGATAACAATGGAATAGATTACATAATAAGTGAAAAGTACAAATTCATAGTGGGATAACAGGTACACTCTTTTTGATAAGAATAATAAAAGCTCAAATTAATGTTACATAATCGGAAATAGGTCAATGATTATAGAAAATATATACAGTGAGATAACAAGCCTTTTGTAAGCAAAGATAGATAGTGTCTAGCGGTGGAATCCACGACACGCGTCTCGTCCTATGTGGGACTCGTCACCTGGATGTACCTACATATCAGAGTTGATGTTCACTCTGGGACTCGAACTCAGTACCTTTCTCTTCAAATGCCATCGCGTTATCCACTCAGCTACTGAGTGCTGATAGCCACTTGCTTGTGCAATGGGGTGAATTTAAATTCACTTATTTCGAGTCTCAGAGTGAACATCAACTCTGAGAAGTGGGTTCATCCAGGTGATGAGCCCTATGTAGGACGAAACGCGCGTCGTGGATTCCACTGATAGCCACTAACCATCTTTACCTAGAATATTATTTTATCTTTTTTAAAGCTTCTGCCTTGATTAGATTAAGATGAGACATTAAGCAAGGGATTTATTTGTGGCTTGTCCTCAAAGAATATAATCTACATGGTTCTTATATAATTGATTTACACGAATATGTTACTCACTTATTTAGGTACTTTTTCTCACAAACTAGACTGACTGAAAGAAGAAAGCTTCTTGTTCGAACATCTCATTTGGAATTTCTATGTTTACTTAAGCCAAGAAGGATATCATGATGAAAATTGGGTTTTTTTCGAAACAATATTTAAGTGCACATGTATACGATTTATGTCTATTCGATTACTTATTCATTGTACATAGTTTACTGTTTTCAGGTTTACTTGAACAATACATATTTATGGACAAACTAACCATATCACTATCGGGTTTTGAAGATTGTTGAGTTTAGATCAATATCTGGAATTGATCAGTGTTAGACTATCATTGAAAAACCGGAACCACTAGACGGTTGTTTCGTCCTACTATGGGACTCTTCATCAATGCTCATCCACCACTCCTCATATGGGATACTAGGACCAAACAGCCGTCCAGTGCTTCCACGTTTTCAGTGATGATCTAACATTGATCCATTCATGATATCAATCTAAGCTATCTATGTTCGCTATTCTCTACGTAGACAAGGATAACCAGTTTTGGTGCTATATCTGGACATTTCTAAAGCCTTCGACATGGTTAGCTACCAACTTCTTATAGGTGAACTCGCATCTTATGGGGTTCAAGATTCTTTGCTTGCTTGGTTTGATTCCTTTCTCAGCAATCGACATCAAATAGTTAAAATTAACTCTTCGTTGTCTAACGCTATCCCTGTTAGATGTGGTGTAATACAAGGTAGTGTCTTAGGTCCTTTGCTATTTTTAGTGCTTATCAATGATATTTGTGAATGCTTTTGTGTCGGTAAGCCCCTTCTATATTCAGATGATCTTAAAGTAGTATATTCATTTTCTGCACATGAGCTGAACAATGTGCAAAATTGCATCAGCATGGAGCTTAACAAGGTAGCACAGTGGTGCTGAAAATGGCAACTGAAGCTTAATACGGCTAAATGTGGATGGATATGCTTCGGCGATTCATCACTAATCTTAGATCTTACCATAAATGGAGAAGTGTTATCTAGGTTACATACAGTAGTAGACTTGGGACTTAGATACTCCCAAGACTTGTCGTTTCCAGAACATATATTAAAACAGACCTCTAAGTCTCAACGTCTAATAGGTTACACAACTCGAAATCTTCACAACACTGAGTCGCGTATTCTAATGTACAAGGTTTGTGTTCGACCACCTCCAGGATATTGCACGTTTATTCTTGGCAGTGCGCGCATGAAGGATAAAATAAGGCTGGAATCAGTACAGAGATGATTTACACTTCGTATTCTTGCAGCTGATTGTACCTTAACTTATAATTCCAGATGTAATGAACTTGGGCTAGACCCTTTATGGAGGAGGAGACTCAAACTACATCTTTCCTTCTTCTTCTTCTTCAAACTACTTATTAAACTATCGTTTGCATGCAATCACGCGATTGACTATGCAGAAACTTCTCATTATGACTTCCGTAATTCCTTGTGACTTGTGAAACACACTCATTCTAAATCATCTCTTTATATGGGTTACTTTACCTGTAAACTTTCTAGACTCTGGAACAACCTACCATAATCCATCCTTACGATAAAATCACTCCCATTATTTGTTCGTTGCATCGATGCATACTACTCCACTGAAAATGCATTGAATGTTCTATCACCTGTAAGTGTATCTCATTCCACAAGTGAAATTATAGGTTCTTTAAGTCTTTAGCCATCTTTATTAGTGCATTCCACAAATAGAACCACCTACATGCTATCACTTTACGTTAATACTGTCCCTAACAACCTTAATTAATTTGAATAATATCTAACATGAACAGTATATCACTGGGTCACATGACACAAACATTATGGTAAAGCTGGTTGACATAAATTCGCTTCGTATTGTTTTACTTGTATCTTCCCATTGTTATTTACGACTGTAATTGATCGGTCTCATGCTTGTTTATGTGTATCCTGTGCGGATTGCTTCAGAGTTGTTGTTCACTACGAGACTCAATACCAGTACCGTTCGCTTCAAACAACATCGCGTTATCCACTTAGTTACTGAGTCCTAATAGCCAATATTGAGGTAATACGCACACTTTGCACATATGTCAATACGAGACTGATGGTAGATTCCAGTAATTAATACCAAATAAATTTAAACCTCACCACATTGTACATGCAAGTGGCTATCAGGACTCATTAGGTAAATGGATAATGTGATGGCGTTTGAAGCGAAAGGTACTGGGTTCGAGTCCCGGAGTGAACATCAACTCTCAGATCCAGGTACATCCAGGTGACGAGTCCCAAATAGGATGAAACGCGCGTTCCACTGCTAATCACTATCCATCTTTGCTGATTGAAATATTCTAGTCATTATTGCTTTGTTGTTCCGTGCTCTCTGTTTTCATTTTAATTTCTCTAATTGTAATTAATTATCAATAATTCGTTCTGGCATAGGAAATGACCTTAAATACACAGTTCATAAATCAACAGGCTGTCTATTTAAGAAAAATTAAAAGTTCTCAGCTAATGTATTGCGTTGCTTTAAAATACATGTACTACCCAAACAATTATTAAACTAGTAAACTGAACACATGTAATGTCACTATTTATATCAAACTGGCCATGGCTGTAAACTGGTGTGAATTCTGTAATTACTATTTTTAGAGTATATTATTATAATCTTAATACATATATGTTTGCTTTATCATCACATTATCCATTTAGTGAACGGCACTGAGTTCGAGCCCCAGAGTGAACATCAACTCTGAGAAGAAGGTACATCCAACTGATGGGTCCTAGACAGGACAAAACATGCGTCACACTGGATTCCATTGCTAGCCACTATCTATCTTTGCGTATCGAATGTTACTATTTATATCAAATTGATCACGATTGTAAACTGGTGTGAATTATGTTATCATAATTTTCTAAATATATTGTTATTATAAGCAATGGTGGATAGTGGCTAGCAGAGGAATCCACGACGCGCTTTTCGTCCTATTCGGGACTCGTCACCCGGATGTACCTGCAGCTCAGAGTTGATGTTCACTCTGGGACTCGAACGCAGTTTTTTTCACTTTCAACGCCATCATATTATCCACTTAGCTACTGAGTCCTGATTCCCACTTGCTTGTGCAATTTGGTGAAGTTTAAATTCACTTGGTATTATAATCTTAACACATGTATGAAATGTATTCAACCTGTTTACTTTATTATGATTATAAAGATTTAGATTATACTTAAATGAAACAAATTTATACAATTTAATGAATTGACTTACCATTGTATAAATAGTTTCATTATTTTTACAACTTGCTGGTAAACTATTATTAGTTCTTCGATAATCTGTAAACATTGAACTTCCACAACATTTATACTACAAGTGAATGTTGTAACAGTAAAGTATACAGTCAACTTACATCAGTTTGTAATTGTTCAAATTGTTCATGATATAATGGATGTATATCATAATAATTCAGCGAATCCTTTAATGTATAATTAGCATTTGTAATGAACTAGATTATAATAATAAATAAGATTAGAATGAATTAACCATACTTCATTTGGTGTCATTACTGTACCTAATGATATACATAATTCAGTCATTGTTGCTATAGTCATACAAGTAATATGCTAAATACAATAGTATAATAGTTATAACTAGTTAGTTACCAATATAATAACAATTTGATTTGGTTTCATTATTTTACAATAACCAGTAATTGAACCAATTATACCAATAAATCCTGTAAATATAATCGTTGGTAATATAGGTGGATTAATTCCTTGTAATATTGTCTTGAATTGTCTCAAATTATCTTGTGCTTTAATACCTAATGCAAATAACATGATACTATATACCTAAATATAATGAATAATAATCATAATAAATAGGATTAAATCAATATATGATTAGTTACCAAGAAAACACCATTTAAAATAAGAAATAATCGATTCCATCCTTGTTCACTTAGTGATAATTTCATATTGTTCAATCTTGATAAATAATAAAATGAATTAACTTTAATTTTAATCAAATTTAATAATGAATCAAGTTTTAATTTTAAAAAATTTTATTTTTATTTTTTAGTTGATATACATGTATCTATGATTGTGTGTATGTGTTGGCTTGGTAACAAATGCACATCTTGTCAAATCATATAATCACTGATATATTATTCTCCTGACATATAAAAAACATGAATATACTTTTTCATATGTTAGTATAATAGTATCTATCTATCTATCTATCTATCTATCTATCTATCTATCTATCTATCTATCTATCTATCAATTAGAAACCCCTTCTGAAATTAGAAATACGTAAAAAAACTTTTTTCATTTCTAATATGTATGTATTTCTATTTGTATGTGTCTAACAATCTGATAAGGTGTTATGACGTATACCTATCAGATAACAATTTATAATAGTAGTTGAAGATAATTTTACTATATGAAGATGAAATTTTGAAAATTACCACAATCAGAAGGGGTTTGTGGAGATTTAAAAAATTCACAGATTGAAATCATGAGTCAATTGAAGCTAGACCACCATGGAGAACCTGGAAGTACTGGACGGTCGTTTTGTTCTAGTATGGGACTCCTCAGCAGCGCTCATCCACGATCCTGCACTCCGCTTAACCAACTAGACCACTGACCCGGCATCCATTGGTGTTAATGTCTAACTTCAAACAACCCATGAACTTGCGCCACCGTATACCATTGTCTTCAGTGAGCTGATATCTCACAACAGACCTGGTTGAACTCCACTGGTAACGACTTCTTACTAGAACTCCAAGAGTATCTGCTGAGGAGTCCCATACTAGGACGAAACGGCTGTCCAGTGCTTCCAGGTTTTCCATGGTGGTCTAGCTTCAGTTGACTCATGATTTCAATCTGTGAAATTACCACAATCGTCATTAAACTAGTACTGTCTATGTAAGATAATCATTGTCGATGGACCGGATACTATAAGCAGCAACTTACTGTGAAAGAGAACAAACCAACTTTCATCTGAAAAAGAAGTTACGAAAGAATATTGAAAGTGGTGGGTGGGACATGTATTACGGAAGTCATCAAACTGGATCCTGAGGTAAGTATTAATGTGGAATTCTGAAAGGAAACGGAAAAATGGAGGATCAAAGTATCCACTGCGTCAGAAATCGAAAGTAGTCATCAAAAGGATGAATAGCAACTAAAAAACAGCTGATCAGAATTGAACAGGACAGAGTTGGGTGTGGAATGCTGGTGGTCAGTCTATACCCCCTCTACGAGGGGTAACAGTAACTAATGTTTGTATATCTGAATTTAGTAGTTGAATTGAAAACCCGTTCAGTATCTGTGGTAAGTTGGATTGAGTGCGAGCCCTAGGTTAAACGTCAACACAGGGATTTAGGTACATCCAACTGAATAGAATAAAACACATCTTCCGAATTCTACTGCTGACTACGATCACTTCTATAAAAATTACTGATTTTCTTACCTTTATTTCTTAGTTAACAATAACGTTATCATTTCATTGTCCATAACTAATATGCGCCACACCTCAACCTATAAATTTGACTGGTGTATATATGTGAAATAAATATAGAATTCAAAATACAATATTATGGTCTATTTTCCCAGAAATCCCATTTGTCAAGTTTTATCATCTAAAATGTAACATGGTTTATTTATATACAGCATAAAATCAAATCATTGTAAGGAGTCATTTAGGTACTGTAAACTATTGTGCCATATAAAATCAATCAGTTTCATAATTTAGAATATAATCTGTTGACAATTTCACAAATTGAAATCATGCGCAGTGCTGAGGAGTCCCATACTAGGACGAAACAGCCGTCCAGTGCTTCCAGGTTTTCCATGGTTGTTTAACTTGAATTGACTCATGATTTCAATCTGTGAAATTTCTGAAATCTCCACAAACTCCTTCTGTTGACATTTTTTTTTGATAGAACAATAAAAGATGAGGTTGACTTGCTTAATGTGATACATTTGCACTACATATATTTCGAATTGTCTAATCATACATATTCTTCTCAAGATACTCATAAAAACCAACGAAAATCAATTAAATAAAAGGTTAAATAAACATGACATGATAATTGTAAATATTATGAAGAAAAAAATACTGATACTCTAAGAGAAGAATAGGAAATTGTCATACCAACGATAACTAGGACATATCCACGGCTACGACAAACCTTTACTGTTTTTGATAGAGTTTTGTTCTCTGAGTTAGATGGTTTGATCGTGGAGCTTTCATTGTTCTTCTGAACGACATCATCAGCACAAATGTCATAGAGGACTAAAAGATGAAGCTACAAAGGATACTCACGTCAGAACAATTGGAAATCCTGATAATAGCCATCGAGATATCATGCGAACGACACAGAGAACAAATAAGAAACACCCTAAAGAAGAAACTTATCAACTTCTCAAAGCCATCCATGGAAGAGAACACAAACAACTGCGTGGTCAACTTGTCAAAGTAACCACCAACAAACGTTAAACCTTTACTGTGCACGTAAAGAGGCTTTGAATAGGCAATAGCCAAGGTTTCTATAAACGTAAAGATAAGCCTTTGGTGATTCGTATATAGCACTTTAAGAGCTGCGTCGATGTTAATTCTAATGAGAAACCATGACCGGTCGAGCATAGCCGTTACCGGGTGTGTGACAGATATGCGCCCTGGGCAGTGAAAGAAGGGTTGCGCGAGATCATGGGTTGATTAAAGTTAGACAGTAATATCGTTTGATGCCGGCTCAACGATCTAAAGGTTAAGTGATCACACGCAAGCGCGAAGGTCCTGGGTTTAAGTTTCGTGTTAGGGGTTGCGGATGAGTACTTATGAGTCCGAAACCAGAACAAACAGACCACATATTTTTTTCAGGTTTTCATTGATGGTCTGAATTCGGCCAACTCTTAATTTCAACTGCGACAATGCTACAGTCTCTGAAAATCCTCATACTGATAACATTAATAATTTTTCAACAGGTAAAGTCAGACAGTAATTTCTGATAATTAGTGATAATAATTAATCGTGGTAGTACTTCTGTTTAATATCCTTTTTGGTCATTATCGCCACCTACGACACTGGTCTTTACATGATTAAACTCCACCGAAATTTATGAATGAACTCCATAAGCTAGAAGCGTGATACAAACAAACACCTCCTTCAATAATAAGTATACGAAAGATGGTGATTGGAAGAAAAGACAACAATCAAATTGCATAGGAAAATATAGTGTGCATTTCAGATGGATACATTTCTGACGCAAAATGTTGTTACCCAATGAATGAACCTTGTTTTTATTTGCATTACTTATGTATGAAGTAGTGTTCCAGTGAATAACAACAATCAGTTCAACAATCATTCATTACAAAGACCTTTTATGTGAAATATTCCATTGGTTTTGAGGTGGTAACAAAGATTTGTAGCTCATACTGATGACTTCTAAATTTTTCATTGCTTTCTCAAAAAAGAAACGTTAGCACATTACTTAATAAAATGTGATTACAAAAGTTTAATAGACTGTTCCTTTGACATTGAAACTCCGCCTGGAGCCTCTGTGGGGCTACTGCCGGTCCCAAGCCCGGATAAGGGAGGAGGGTTGTTCATGGGGTTAGCGATCCCATCCCGCAGAAAACTAACTCGCTAAAAACACGCTAACCAGAAGAAATAGTTCAAACCATTTAAACTCTGCCCTGGGAGTTAGAAGGTCTTCATTTAGAAGAGTTATGACGCCCCATGGTGAAGCCGAGTTCCTTCGGAAGTCACGAAGCTGATGCCTCTTCTGACAACCAGAGCAACCATTTATGAAAGAACTGCTTTACACTAACTTCCGTTCATATGCTGAAAATTCAGGGTTTTTATAGCATTTTAGATGGCCTTGGGCTTCTGAAAAATTTTAGAACGCTTCTAAATACAACAACAGCATAAGCAATTATTCAATCAGAAACGCAACATGTGACTTTTCATTTTCTAGATGTTTCTGGCAAAACTCCTATTGAATGCTAATTGAACAACATATTTCTCAGTGTTTTCAGAGGCTTTTTTGTCTTTTTTTTTTGAGGAATTTCCTGGGTCTCCTCAACACTTGAATAACTCATATTTTTACAAATTATGAAGAAAAGATTTATAGGCGTCGTTACTAATGAACATTTATTGTAAAAGTGTCTAATGAAAATGTTCTCAGTAACATTTGAATGATTTCATTGATTAATTAGTAAAATTCATGACTAGTAGCGCGATTTTGTGGATTGATTGAAGTTAGACATTAGCACTGTCCGATGGCGGCTCAGTGGTCTAGACCTTAGGCGTTCACACGCGAGACCGATAGATCCTGGGTTCGAATTTCCAGGGGGGCGGGACCGTGGGTAAGAACTGCTGAGGAGTCCCATACTAAGATGAAACGGCTGTCCAGGCTTCCAGGTTTTTCATGGTGGTCTGGCTTCAATTGACTCATGATCGAAGCTATTGAAATCTGTATTTCATTTTTTAGACCAAACATCCATTTACAGCATAGTTGCATACTCGCATATTATTGAGCACAATGAACAAGTAATGAATATTAAAACAAAACTGTATATGTAGTGTTTATACACTGATTTATTGATATCACTGAATCTAGTTTTAATTATTCAGATTCAGATTTGTGTAGTAAGAACAGAAGGCCTACGGCCTATGTTATTACTTTTCTAGTATACTTCTATGAATGTCCGGTCTTCTCTTGAATGAATCAACTGAAAGTAGGGACACCACTGTTTCGGGTGACATGTTCCAATAATTGATGACTCAGTGTAAAAACCTGTATGCTACGGGTATTTTGTTCGTTCTTGGCTTTTCTACTCGCCTGCTATGTCCTGAGATGTATCAATCTAGTGAAGAGAAAAAGAGAAGATACATTAGGTCCAAAATCATTTCTTAGTATTCTATACATTAAAATTAAATCACCTCTTAATCTGCGATAAGATATAGTAAAGAGGTATGGATTTTCAGACCGCTTATTATGTGTTACACCCCGAAGTTCTGAAATTGCACGTGT